GGAGGCCAAGGTGCCCAAAAGGAGGCATTCCATATTAACTTCGTTCATTTATCATGTCCTATCCAAATTCCTAAAATCATTGTGGCTATTGAAATGAAGTAACTACACATACTACCAAAGATTTTGAAAGTAATCACAAACCCACCCCAATGGTAATATTCTAAATAATTGTTCTCTTATGTTTTGATAAGTGTTTGGACGATCTTAATTTAAAGAGATAATGGCGATTATTTTGTTGACAACAACATATGTTATCTTCTTTATAAAAAAAACAACAGCATATGTTATATTCTTCATGAAAAAAAAAAATTTTACCTAGAATAACCTACTTTAAAAAAAAATAGCTAGAATAACCTTACCATTTTTTTATTGCTGAAATAACCTATTCTGGATTTTTTTTTCTTTCATAATACCAAAATTATCTTTGGTAGACTCTGCCGAAACATTGGCAGACTCTGCCGAACATTGGTAGACTCTGCCAATGTTCGGCAGAGTCTGCCAATGTTTTGGTAGAGTCTGCATATTTCTAGATATTGGCAGAGTCTGCCAATACATCGGTAGAGTCTACCAATGTTTCCGCAGAGTCTGCCAATGATTCGGCAGAGTCTGCCAATACCTCGGCAGAGTCTGTCAATACCTCGGCGGAGTCTGCCAATATTTCTAGATAATGGCAGAGTCTGCCAATACATCGGTAGAGTCTACCAATGTTTCCGCAGAGTCTGCCAATGATTCGGCAAAGTCTACCAATACCTCGGCGGAGTCTGCCAATGTTTCGGCAGAGCCTGCCAATGTTTCGGCAGAATCTGCCAATATTTTGGTAGAGTCTGCGTATTTTTAGATATTGACAGACTCTGTCAATATATCGGTAGAATCTGTCAATACATCGGTAGAGTCTGCCAATATTTCGGCAGAGTCTGCCAATACCTCGGCAGAGTCTGCGAAGGACAATTTTTGTATTATGGAAGAAAAAAAATCTAGAATAGATTATTTCAGCAATAAAAAAATAGTAAGGTTATTCTACCTATTTTTTTTTAAAAAAATAGGTTATTCTAGCTAATCTCAAAAAAAAAAACATATGTTATCTTCTTTATAAAAAAAAACAACAACAACATATGTTATCTTATATTGAACTCGCGAGTGACACAAATCACGAAATTATATGTTCTAGTCTAATAACGGGTTTTTTGTTTGCTTGTTTATACTTTCTTGTATCTTCTCTCTCGTAAATGCTTTATTCTCTTGTGATTTATATCTTTGAGCAAAAAAGAAAGGAAAAAAAAAGCGAAACTAATTTGCAAATTTAATTTTTATAGGCATTTTTGTGGTGGGAGACTGATAAGATCAAGAAAATGATCCTATCAATTTAGAGAAGGAGATGATAGTAACAGAAATAGAGATGAGAAAGTAGAAGAAATTGGGGATATGGATGAAGAGATGGTGAGAAGATTTGGTGGATTTGAGAGAACATCTCAAAGTTTGGACACAATAGACATAACGATCTTGACTTTTCGAAGATGGTATGCAAATTTTTACTAGGAAAGCAAATATTTATGGAAGAAAAGAGCAAGGGGTACAACTTGAAATTAGTCAAATCGAAAAGATCCGGTGTGAATGGAGGAAATGCTCCATCCATGCATTTTTTACAATATACACAATATATCAAGCTCTTAACAAATAATATGATCTTGTTTATTTATATAATAAGTTAATATGACATTTAGGAACATCATAAACTTTAAGTTTCAAAAAAAAAAAAAAACATCATAAACTTTACAATTTTATGAGGGTTACAAATATCTTCGGTAAGCGGCTCCATCATAAACTTTACAATTCATGAGGATTACAAATGTCTTAGGTAAACTTTCCATCTTCCGAGTAAATGAACCAAAAGGATCGGAGTTTTATATTTCTTAGACTCTCTCCATCAATAGGTTCTCAGTATCTCAAACAATAATTAAATATTAATAGTATTAGAGTATTAGAAGAGTTTCTCAAAACTTAAAAAATTGACTCTAAAACTTTTCATTTGAGAGATTTAACACTAAAACCTCTTAACTTTTAAGAACTCTATCTAATTTTAATAGTTTTTATTTGTTAATGTATTTTGAGATACTTCTTAAGAGATTATGTATGGAGGTGGTCTAAAAAGAACAATGCCGGCATCTCCACGTCACCTGCTTCAACTTTTATTTAAAAAAAAAAATTAAACGAAGAACAAAAAGAGAGGACCATTTTTTTTGTTGGTCAACAAACAAATAAAAGTTTGTTTTTCCAACTTTTTTTGTTGGTCACATTTCTCCAAACTTTTAAGAATTATTTTTCCCTATCAGAAAAGAAGTGAAAAACAAATAAAAACAGAAAAATAGATCATTTACAAAATAATGAATCGTTCATCACTTGCATTTGCGTTGAATATTTCGCCACCGAACCATGCTTACCAATCATTTGTCATGAACACATCTCACCTACGGAACAATCAGCCTCAATGACGGCGTCTACGTCTCACCATTGTCTCAACGTCTGATTCCGTCACCATTCTGTTTACCATCCTCATGTCTCCCACCGTCATCTCCTCTCCGACGCCATTCCCGACGTAGATCTTCTTCACGTCACCGGCTTCAACTCCGATGATCTTTCCGAGTAACCGCCCCGGCTGCCTCCATTCCGCAAGCAATGCCGGCATCTCGAACCCGGCGCGTGCATCCCACGCGCTTACTTGCACCGCGTCGGTTCCTCTGCTCCCCGCGGCTAACAAAACGGCCGGGGAGCATTTAGCGAAGAAAGAAGCGACACTTCCTTCTCCATTGATATCGAGATTGTCCCATAGCTTAACGACTCCGCTAGAGGCGAGTCCACCTAGGTCTGGCCAGGATAACAAGTCGCCGAAGCTACCACTGCACCGACGTATCCAAGGGATATTTCCAATTATACCCTT